TTTGAGAGCAAGAGCATTGAAGTCAAGAGATGCAGAAACTCCAACAGAACCTACAGAAGGAACTGAAACAACAGAAACTCCAGAAGAACCACCAAAACCAACAGCTAATGAAATATTGTTCGAATATTTTCCAAGGTACTCTGTTCTCATTGCATACATTCAAGAAATACTTAAGAAAGCAGACTTGACTTTAGGAGATGATGAAAGTTCTGTATATCTTTCGTTCCAGTTTCAAATAGCAGAACTTTTGAGACAGATATGCTTAATGTATGACAACATCTCTGATTTCACAAGATATGATGACGACCATGACCCCGAACACGGTGAAGAAGAAGTTTTACAAACATCCATTAAGACAGGAAAGGTTTTAACACAAAGTCTCATTATTGACACCGAAGATGGTGAAGTGGATGTTCTTCAAGAGCTGAAGAAAAATACTTCTGAAGGAGGTGGTGGTAGGCATGAACTTGAAATAAATGAGATAGAAGAGAAATTAGCCGAAAAAGCAGATAAAAACCATGTTCATTATATAAGTTCAGACGAACAGATTATAACGGACTACCATGGATATTTAACACAGGATGAACAAATAAGCACTGAAGATGTTAATGAAAGAAGATATAAATTCATTTGTGCTAAAGGTTATGACATACACTGTACTGTACAGTATGACACAGGTAAAGCACCAGAAGCATTTGGTTATAACAATGAAATTTATGCTTCATACTTCTTTGTTAACGGTGTATTAGTTGAACCAAGATTTACATTGAGAGTTAAGGCAAAAATAACTTTTGAAGATGCTATTAAAAGTAAAGCTGACAAAGATGAACTTGACGCAACGAACAAAGTTTTGAAATCTCATAAACACAATATCTCCGATATAAATGAACTTCAAGCTACATTAAATAGTAAAGCAGATAAAAACCATACACATGAATCCTTCACAACTGTTAGAGCAGATGACATAATATTGAACTATGCCCTTGGTTCAAGCGCACCTTTAGAGAATCCAAGTACAAGCGTAAAAGATACCCTTAACTCCTTAAATAGTAAATGTATGAACATTGAAGGTCATGTCAGAAACTTTGAAACACATGAACTACCAGCAATGTTAGATAAGAAAGCTGACAAAACTTATGTGGATGCAGAACTAACAAAGAAATTTTCGAAACCAGACACAATGACATTCACAACAGAATTTATAAATGGTGAACCAGCAACTCCATTTGAATTTGTAAGAGGCATTCAACCAGAAACATTTGAATTTTTCTTGGATAATTCTATAGAGCTAACATTACATTATAAAAGTGGAACAAATGCAACATTTCATCCGGGAGATACATTCCAAATGGTATTTAATGACATAAGTTCTTTAGAATATATTTATAGAGTTATGAGCATATATGATTTAATATATCCTATAGGAGCTGTTTATACGTCTATGAATCCAATAAATCCAAACACTTTATTTGGTGGTAGATGGTATGAAATAGTTGACAGTTTTCCATTCTACACTAATACACAGTCAATGAAGATGGGAGGTTCAAAGAAAATAGGTATTGAAAACCTTCCTTCACATATGCATAAGTTCAGTGGAACAACATCTGTGGAAGGAAACCATTCGCATCCAATGACAAAAAGAGGTTATACAAATCTTGCTGCAGGTTCTGATAGGCAAGGTATAAATAGATATGATATCACAGATGACCCCAAAGATGTTAGCACAGGTATTTTCTGTGGAACTGCAGGAAACCATACACATGTTTATGCTGGCATTACAGACCCAGCAGGTAATGGAAAAGATTATATGCCTCCTTATATAACAATGCACGCTTGGATACGAGTTGGTTAAAATCTTTAACTTTACATAAATGAGCTTGAAAGAAGTATTCGAACAACATCCATGGAGGTCATTTAAGAAGTTCAATGAAGCTGCAAAGAGTTGGGGATTTACTAACAGAGCTGAAGTGAAAAGGTTCTTTGACAAAAATGTTGTACATCAAACAAAAATAAACCCTTACGACTACTTTTTACCAATTTACTCCAACACTCCTGACGCATACCAATTTGACACTCTCATTCAAAGCAGAAAAGGAGGACATAAACCATTCCTCATCTTCATTAATGTTAACACTCGCAAAGCATATGCATATCCAATGAAAAATAAAGGAACTCGTGAAGTGTTAAGAGTTTTACAAAAGTTTGTAGCAGAACATAGCCCAAGTACTTTAACATCAGACCAAGACAGTGCATACCTCAGCAATGAAATCACAGATTTTCTCATTAAGCATAACATAACTCACTACACTACTGAAGACCATAACCATAACATACTCGGCATCATAAACCGCTTCATAAGAACGCTCAGAGATTTAAATCAAGAGCGAGACTTTACCGAAGAAACAATGAAACACTTTCTCGAAGTATATAATTCCTCAACACATTCTACAACAGGACATACACCAAATTCAATGACACAACAACAAGAAGAAAAGTATATACAAAAGAAACGAAGTCAAACACAAAATATCAGAAATTCAACACAATTTACCCTCATTCCTGGAACAAAAGTTCGTGTAGTTCTTGACGACAAACCGTTGACAAAGAAACGTTTAAGGTTAAGTAGAAACTATTATATCGTAGACTCTACGCAAGGTAATGGATATCTTATAAAAGCTGCTGACGACTCTATTGCGTTTTACCCTCGACATAAATTAGTCGAAAGTAGTAATGGCAAACTTGCTGAAACCATTGACGAAGCAAAGCGAGGAGTGGTTATTGAAATACTTGGCTATAACATAAACGATGACACTTATAAAGTAAGATATGAAGGAGGCGTTGAAGATGTTATACCATCTAAGAACTTGAGAAAGTCAAAGCCAACACATCTGGGACCATTAGAGCGGGAGTACTGGAAAGACAAAAATAAGCCAGAAAGAATAAGAAAATTCTTCTAAACTTTTTCATTAGATGTAAATCAGACATGAATGAGAACAGTCATGATATCATTAATGGTACCATTTATTTTAACATAAAGACGCAAAGCGGCGAGGACGAAGTCCATGACCAAAAATAATGTTTAGGGTAGATGGTTAGATCTAACCTCATTTCTACCCTCAGCCGCTAAGCGGCGAGACCCTTTGGGTCTTTTCTACCCTCATGAATTTCCTTAAGATAGAAAAAATATAGTTAGTTTTAAAATTATTTTTATTTTTTTATTTTGTATGTAAGAACAGAAATGTCGGCCGAAGCAAAAACATTCACGAAAAAATCTAATGGCGAAACATTCACAAAAGGCACTTATAATGGTATTGAAGTCTTACGTAGAGACAAGGATGGTTACATTAATGCAACAAAGATGGCAAGAGAAGCGGGAAGGTTAAACCATTTAAACAGATTTCTCAATAGTACTAAAATGCAGGAAATTCTTGAGTTTTAGTTGAAAGAATACGGTCGAGCCAAAAGTGGCTCAACCTCAAAACAAGCATTTTATGAGCTTACTAAGGGCGTTATAAATGAATTCAAAGGTATTTACATACATCCTGACCTCGTTCATTTTGTTGCTGAATGGTGCTCTGTAAAGTATGCATTTTATGTCAAAGATATTATGGACTCCATAGACAAGAAAGTTCATGAGAAATTAGATGAAGAAGAACTCGAAGATACAGTAGAGAATGCTAAACATTTGTTTGAAGAAGAAGTTAGAAAAATGTGCGAAAAACAATTAGAACATGAACGTGAGATATGTTATGGTTATAGAGATTCTCCATACGATCTAGACCAATGGGAACAAGAAGATTTAAAGAGAGAATTTAGAGAATATGAACTCGCTAAGATAGCATTAGAAACTGCAGAAATGAAGTTAAAAGTTTGGGGTCGTTTTGTACAAAAATATTGTGAGTAAATGAACCATTTATTTTTGCTGAATTCACCAAAAATAATGTTTAGGGTAGATGGTTAGATCTAACCTCATTTCTACCCTCATTTCTACCCTCTTGAATTTTCATGAATTTCCTTAAGACAGAAAAAATAAAGTTAGTTTTATTTTTATTTATTTTTTTATTTTGTATAAAAGATATGATTTCAACAATCGGCACAACAACAATTCAAACAACAACAGCACCAAACTCGTTAGTCATGAATCCTACGTCAATGTTGGTAGAGATGAAAAGCTTTATTCCTTCTTCATTTACTTTCGAAACAGAAATACAAAAAATTAAGCAAGAACTTTTAACAAATAATTTAGACTGTAGTGCGAAAGATGAAACAAATGAACAGTATCTTTATGAAATGGAGGACCTCATCGACCATTTGCCTAAACTACCTGAAATTCAGCAGCAAAAACTAACTATTCCTGAATTCGACGAAATTGAAGTCAAAGCAACTGACTCAGTAGAAATTAAGAAATTCATACGTAAAGTAAATTATGAATTCCTTGGTTTTCATTGCAACCATAAAGTTATGGACAAAGATTGCGACATGGTATATAAGAACATCTCTGACATATATAAATCGGGGGAGTTTAAGACATACGACAACTTTGTTTCATTAGTTGCAAAATGTGTGTGGCAGATAAGAGATAAAGACAGAAGAGGTAAGGTATGGCATGAACAGATAAAACCAACTGCTTCAGATTTAAAGAAAACCATTGACGCCTTAGTTGTTCTAGCTGGCTTTATTTCAATGTATAACGCAAAAATGAATCCGCAATGTTCTAAATGTAAAGCAGCAATAAGGAAATATAACTACTCCGTCAAAGAGATAGAACGTATGCTAAACGACTATGCAGACTTAAAGAAAGAAGCAGAAAAGCCAGCAGAAGATAAAATGGATATGTTGACATTTCTTAATAAAACCTATCCAACTGCTGACGATTTCCTTCTATCTGATGTCTTCACAAGAATTTGGCTCCTGGTTTGAAAGGTTATTATGTTCATAGACTTTTAGTAAACGCTGTAGCAATGTGGACTTCACCTCGTTATGCTTGTTATATTTTCATGATGTTAGATGAACTATATAAAGCAGAACGTGGAGAGATGGAAAAGAAACTTCAAGCAAAAGATGAAGTCATTGAATCCAAAGACAAAAGCATACAGAAAAGAATACCGCGTTCAGTACAAAAAGGAAAGGAAAAGAGTTATAAGTATATGATATATACTGAAGAGTTGGAGAAAGAAGAAGACAGAGATATGGTTATGTTGCATTTAGTCAGAAGAAACAACAAGAGCTTTTATGACTTAGCTAAAATATATAAATCTGACAGAAACTGGTTCTATCGTGAAAACTTACCGATTTCAATGACACCGAATGAGCAAATAAAGGAAATTGTCAAAAATACTCTTCCTCAAACACACTATGACATCAAAGGTTGCACAATACTTACATTCAAAGAAGACTTACCATTACTGAAGGAAAAAATAACAGAATATTTTGATAACTTCAAAGAGGAAGAATGAAAATCTAAGCTAATTTTATTTTTTTTATAAAATTTTATCTCATATGAAAGAACATGAATTTAGAATATTCGGAACTCATGACAGAAGAGGAGAACGAACAGCATGTAAAAGATTATGCAAAATTTATGAAAACATACAAAGCATTTAAACAATATCTAAATGCTTCTAAAGATTATGCAAAATTTCTGAAGGTATATAAAGCTTATGAAAAAGCGTATGAAAAGTTTATACATTGGGGAATTGTTGTAAAATATCCATATGAAGACTAACCAAAAATATATTTTTGCTTAAATAGCTTCAGGGTCTATTTCTTCAACCATTTCACTTCCTTCGTCAATGTCAATAGAAGCTTCTTCAACCTTTGGTAAGAATTTCTGTATAACATCTTTGCTCGTTATTGTCTTCAGAGATGAAGGATAATATTTCACAGATGTTTCACCCTTCTTATATTCTTTCTGTTCGGAAAGATTTAAAGCAATACTGAAGAAGTCAATATTAGAGTTCTTTATAACAGTATAATGAGTATCTTTGACATTCACGAAGAAACTCTTTTGTTTCAAAACTACTGCTAACTCTTGTGAAGTATAACGTTTGCGATCAATGACGATAGCTAATGGTCTGACATACTGACCAAACTTAGATTCTTTCACAAACTTCTTGTTAAAGATAACATTAACATTTGAAGCATTATTGAACTCATTCTTGATGGCAGTAGCGAGAGCATTGTATGAAAAGAACTTGCAATCTTGCATGTGTTTCATTAAAATAAAAATATTAAATTATTTTGAAAAATAACTTAAAAAAATCTAATCTAATTTTTTCAAAAAATATTTTTTTATTTCCTACTAAAGATGTATCGGAAGTTGTCTAAGTTAGAACACTCGGAAATAAAACAACTTCTTACAGAAGCTAACATAGATGTTGCAAAGCATTACGCAACAAACAAAAAAGCACTCGCTGACTTCATTAAAGACTATAATGGTGCAATAAGTTATGATAGAATTCATGAGTTCATAAAGCCGCAACGCGGCGAGGACGAAGTCCATGCAAGAGCATTTCCTTTAAATGACGTTGCTATTGACTTATATCATAGACGTTCAGTACCTCATGAAGTAAGAAGAGAAATGTTTGACATAACAAATGCAAACGTTGGTGAAACAAGAAGAAGAGACGACACACTGAAACAACAGAGAAGAGAGATGTTTAAGAGCGCTATAGAACAAGTTCGCAAAGCTAACGATGTCATTCGTTCCATTGACGACAAACCAAAAGAAGGTGAGAGATGGTTAAAGAAAGATGAAAGAATAGGAAGAGAAATGTGAAGTCAGGCAATAGACTCATTGACTTTAACATTGAAGCTTTAGATGAACCAAACAGAGACTACTTACACAAACATTTCGGTAAGGTTTTCATGAGACTCTTAGAGAAAATTAAAATAAACTCACAACAGAGATGGATGGTATGTTATAAACTTGGTGGAAAGTATGAATGTTCTACGTTAAACCTCAATAATATTGGAACATTACTACATCAGCTCTTGAAGGAGAACTTTATATCAGAGATAGATGCAAATGCTGCAGGTATTGTTGAAATGCAATATGACTTCTTCTTGACAAACATAAAGAATCTTACTGAAATAAAGATGTATGATTTAACAGAATATGAAGGCTTAACGATGTCAGATGTAAAGAAAGGCAAACCAAAAAAGAGACCATATAGAGATGAAAGCACACTGACAAATGACCAGAAAGCCATTTTGGAAGCTCTTAAGCAAACAGGAAACCCAGCACTTATAGAAAGCTTTTGGAAAGATAATGGTGAAAAGAAGTTTTATAAGAAGAGAAGCGGTCAGTTCTGGAAGTATCTTTGCACATTACCTATAAATCTTGAGCGCTACCAAATCTTCAATGAACTGAACAAAAGAACTGCAACACTTATGACAGAAGACAATTGTTTCGTTTATGCTTGCATTCAGGCTGGAGTAGATGGAGAGACTATTGACCACATGAGAGAAGTCATTCGTGTTAGAGACTTTCCTCAAAGTAAAGTACAAGAAATTTCTGACGCAACAGGTATAGCATTTAATGTTACCATTGGTTATTTCAATGACTCAAGACATAATGAAATAAAGAGATATATACCAAAAGAATGTGAAACTGTTCGAACTATTGACTTACTTCTTGTTGAAGACCACTACATGCTAAATGAAAGATTACCAATGACAACATATTTCATTCGCAACTATATAGAAATCTTGAAGGAGTGTGGTGGAATGAACATTGAGAAACAGATGAAGATTTATACAAAGAGAGAGAACAAATATGTAGTTCGTTATGATAGAACAACACCGTTATGGGATGTTATGAAAACATTGTGGGAGTGCAAATATTTCGAACCTATTTCTTATGGAGAACTTTTCACATATACGACTGACTTATATAAACAGAACCTTGCACCATTTAAAGATTTGACATATGCTCCAAAGTATTGTGTACAACTGAAGAAGAAAGCCGAGTCAAAAGAAGTAAATAAAGCTAAATGTAAGTTCATTCCTGAGCACGTTTTCTTTGCTGACTTTGAATGTAGCACTGATGGAGTTCATAAAGCCTTTAACATTTGTTATGACAGTGAAGATGGTTCGGTGAGTGAAAGCATTTGGGGTCAGAACTGTGCAACAGAATTTTTGGAACGACTTCCTGACAAGAGTTTAATATATTTCCATAACCTCAGTTATGATATAAACTTCATCTTAAGACACATGACAGAAGTGAAAGGAACTCCCATCATTAAAGGTTCACGAACAATGCAAATAACTGGCTTATATAAAGGAAGAGCAATTATTATAAAAGACTCTTACAGTGTTATAAATAAGAAGCTTAAACTATTTCCTGCTATGTTTAACTTACAAACAGGACCGAAAGAAGTATTTCCATACAACTACTACAGCAGTGTTTTGTTAGCAAATGACAACAGAACTGGTGTCATTTCTGAAGCGTGTAAGTTTGTAAAAGATATTGAAACGTTCATGAAAAACATAGATTCCATCAAAGGTTGCAGAATAGATGAAAACCACTTCGATTTAGAAAAGTATAGTACATTTTATTGCAAACAAGATGTAAGAATTTTAAGAGAAGGTTTTGTTAAGTTCCGCAATGACATATTGAAAGAGTTTGATTTAAACGTATATGACTACGTTAGTATTTGTTCTATTGCTAACAAATTGTTTGAGAACAGAGTGTACTTCCCGAATGGAAATTTATATGACCTCTCAAATAAACCAAGAGAATTTATTTCACGCTGTATTCAAGGTGGAAGATGTATGCTGTCAGATAACATTAAACAAAAGAGCGAAAAGAAACTCATTGCTGATTTCGACGCTGTTTCATTATATCCATCAGCTATAGCAAGACTTTATACTTTAGAAGGTATTCCAAAGGTTATGAAGAAAGAAATGTTAAGCACAGAGTATCTCATGAGAATTTATTCATGACGACCAAAAGGAACCCATTGATGAAAAGTTTATGTCTGGCTTCTTTGTTCTCATTAAGATAACAGAGATTGGAATACATAGACACTTTCCTTTAATAGTTTGTGACCCTGAACTAAATCCAGAACTTAACGTTCCCAGAAGTTCAAACACTTGCTGTTTAATGTATGTTGACCATATAACATTACAAGACCTCATAAAATATCAAGGTGTCAAATGTGAAGTGTTGCAAGGATACTATTACGATGGAAACAGAGATATTAGAATAAGAGATGAAGTAAAGAAGTTGTTTGAGTTAAGGTTAAAGTATAAGAAAGAAGGAAATCCTTTGCAAGAAAATATAAAGCTCATTCTGAACAGTATTTATGGCAAAACTATTCTATCTCCTATTGAGTCAAAAATAACCATAGTAAATGACAAAGATGCTATAAGATATGCTATAAGAAACTACAACCATATAGTGAAGTTCGAAGGTTTGGATGGTTCAGATAAAACTATTTTCAAGCTAACGAAAAGCATTTGCAGACACTTTAACTTCTGTCCACTTGGTGTTAATATTCTGTCTATGTCGAAGAGAATAATGTGTGAAGTATTCTGTACTGCTGAGGACTTAGGAATGGACATCTTTTATAGCGATACGGACAGTATGCATCTCTACAATGAAGATATCCCTCGTTTAGCTGAAGAGTTTGAGAAACGTTATGGAAGAGTTCTCATTGGTAAAAACCTTGGTCAATTTCATAGCGACTTTGCAGAAATCACAAAAGATAAACAAAGTTTAGCATACAAGTCAATATTTTGTGGAAAGAAGACTTACATAGACTTACTCACGAATGATTTAAATGAAGTTGCATTTCACTGCAGAATGAAAGGCGTGAAGCAAGATGTTATTGCTTTAACCGCTAATGAAATGTTTCCTGACTCTGTTCAGTGTTTCTATGATGAAGATAAAGGTTTAATGGTTCCGCAACGAAAATTTGACAAAGACTCTGAGTTCAGTTTAATGAAACTTTACAAAGCACTTCATGATGGTCAAGAGATTGGATTTGACTTATGTAAGTCTTCTAGTCCTTGCTTTGCTGAAAAGTTTAACTTCTCAATAACGACTAAAACAAGCTTTATTCGTAAGTTGAAGTTCTGAGGTCATTTATTTTTGTCAGCAATGAGGTCATTCGTGATAAAAATAAGCCGCTAGCGTAGATTTTACAATACTGCGATGGTAGAGTTTAAGAGTTGTGCTTCAATGTAGAGACAGTCCTTATGGTCTGGAGGTAAGAACACTGGGCAGTTATCGTCATGAGTGGAGAACATGTCTATCCAAAACTCACGATTGAAGCCAGTTAATTTATAGTATTTAGGGTTAGGAAGTGGTGAAGTTCTTGTATGACCAATGAACTCATTTTCAACGCCTTTGGCTATATTAGAGAAAAGAATAGCTTGCTTTCTATCCCAAATGCCGGGTGTTACAATCTTTGAAAATTCATTTTTCCTCGGAAGCATTGCATCATAATTGAAAACATTCTTGAAATCATCACTTGGTTCAGAGATTTGAAATCTTATACGTAATGGATTTTCTTTCTCTTTAGCGACTTCATTGAATGGTGAGAATACAACAAACTGACAGTCATGTGTTCCATCTTCATTTTCATTAAATTCATAATGAAAGTCTATAAGTTGTGGCTGACTACCTTCTTCTTTCAGTTGTGCAAGAAACTCACGTAAAGGCTGTAAAGTTTGTACTTCAATGTTAAACTTTTTCTCGAACATCTCATTAAATGAAATCATACATTGCAACAATGTTGTATCGTCTTTAAAGTATTTGTATATGTGAATGTTTTGGGCGCTTAAAGACTGTTCGTCATTTTCTATCTCGATTTGAAGTATAAAGTCAACCTTTCTGAAAGCACGTGTTATATACATAGATGTTATGCCAATGTACTTCTCTTCATTTATGTTCACAATCCAGTCTGTTGGAAACTTAAACGTTACTCTGTTCCCCTTTATTTTGACGTCAGGGTTTTCACTACTGAACGTAACAGATAAAGGTATTTGTCTATACATTTAATTCGGATAAAAATAAACCATTTACTCTTTCTTTGCTTCAGCTTCTTTAGCTTTTGCTTCAGCTTCTTCTCTAGCTTTCTTCGCCAGCAAACGTGGGTTCTTTTGTCTTCCAGCAGCTAATGCAGCAAGTTGTTTTTCACTAAGTTTTCTCTTTGGTCTCTCTGGCTTTTGTTCTTGTTTTTGTTCCTTCAGTTCGGATAAAATTTGCTCACGAATTTCTTTCTTCAATGCTTCAACATCTATGACACCTTGGGTCTTGGCCGTAGGGCTTGTCTGAGTCATTTGACTGCAGATAAAAAACTAAATTAAAACTTTAACCGATGTAAAATGAGCTTGTCAAAATCAGAGCGAGAGTCTATTATATTAAATGACGCCAGAGGAATACAACATCCTTTCTATTACGTAAGTCAGAGTAAAGATGGTAAAATATACGTAAGAAAAAGAAAGGTTCCATTAGCGAATGCAGAAAGCGACAGTATTAAGGTGCATGGCACCGAGGGCGAAGCCCATGTTAAGCCTTCTGTTCAAACTGAGCCACCAATAGAACCAGAAGAAAAGAAGCCAGATATACTTTCAATAACGAACCAAGAGCTTATTGCAAAGTTCGTGAATTTCATTGAAAAACAAACCGAGTCAAAGAATCCTGACCCGCCAGTGAAAGAAGTTGAGACAAAAGAGAATGTACAGTTCATTGAAAATGTCAAGAAACAACTTCCACCACGAATGCCAAGAAGAAGAGTGAGAATAATGAAGTAAATAGATATTTTTATCTGAAGTAAATACATGCAGAACGAACAGCTAAACGAATTTACTCCAGCAGAGCATATTCATCAGATTCGCTCATATTTCGATATCATAGACAATGCAGTTCAAATTGGTGACACTAATAGAAAATATTCTGACGCAAAGATTCCATCACAACCTGGAACTGCTAAAGATAACACATGGGTAACATTCAATCTCTCACCTCCTGGTGAAAATATGTTGGACCTTTACAATACATTCATTACATATAAAATGGAAGGTCAATTTATTGTAGATAAAGAAATTGGTTCAGGTTCCAATAAAACAAACCCACCAGGATTTTGGATTGGTTTCGATGACGCTTTCTATGCAGTTGCTGGATATCAAATCCTTGCAAATGGTCGTATCGTATATTCTCAAGACAACGCAAGAGAAGAAGCATATATAACTTCAAACTCACAAACTACCGAACAAATAAAGAAAGTAGATGTTTTCTCAAAGACTCGACATGAAGATGTATGGAGTCATTCGGGAACATGCAGAACAGGACAAATTGTTAGTGGTCCAATTACAGCAGGAAAATCATTTGATTTTAAGCTTCGTTTAAGAATTCCTGTTAGAAGATTCCTTCCATTAGAAGCTATTCGATTTATTCCAGCTTTTGCAGGAAACATTCAGCTTAAAGTAAAGTTCAGTAGCGACGCCTACAATGCACATCTATATCTGTAAATGATATCATTGCTTTCAATCCAACTCTTAAAGTTGCATTTGCTTCAGATTCAAATCCACCGACAAATAAATTTGTTCCATGGAATGAACCATTCACTATGATAACGAAGTCAGTAGAAGCTAGTGGAACAGTTACTATTACAACTGTAACCCAGCAACTATTTCGAACAAAGATGGATTTTAATGAATGTTTCATTCATCCAAAGTCATTCTCTTTAGACCCTAACATTTATACAGAACTTGTAGAACATTATACAAACGAGGCTTTATGTTTTCCTGTTAAAGTTATGGATTGGATTCCTATGGACGGTTCATTCTCAAAGAATACAGATAGTTCAAGTGCAACATTTACAGCAGCTTATACGCCTATTAATGTTAAAAGTATTTGGGCACTATTTAGAAAGAAAGACAACTATGTTAATTTTGAGAACCCTAAGTTTAAATATCTTCAGCTTTCCATGGGAGCTTATGGAAATATGCCTGCAGAACCCGAAAAATCATATGGCCCTGTATTTTATGAAATGGTTGCGAACGCCTGCAATACAAACAATGATATGATAGGATTTAATGAAGATGTTATGAGGTCATTGGTGGATGATGGTAGTGTGGAACATAAATGGGATAGCTATGACAACACACATTTCTTATGTGGTTTTCCAACAGAAGTGGACTTTTGCTTCCAGCAAGGTCAAACATCTACTGCTCCAATAACATACAAATTGTCTGTTAAAGGACCTATTGAACTAGCAACTGAAAATGTACCAAAGCCACTTATTGGATTTATGAGGGATTGTTGCTTTGCCATTCATGTGCGTGCTAATGGCATCCCCATAATAAGATTAGATGACTATAACTTAGCTACGGACGACAGTGAGGAATAAAGGATGAACGTTTATTTTTAAAGCTTATAAATGAGTTCTTCATCAAGCTCTCGTGAACCTTCACCATCTATGAAACAAACTTTACCAAACGATTATGGAGCACCTATTGAATATTTCTTACGAGCTGCACAATGGCAAAGAGCAGTCTCACCAAGGTTAGGTGTTCCACCAGCTCCTGTCAAAAATAGCATTTGGTCAAGTCCTTATATAAGATATGGTCTCCCACTAGGTTTGCTAGCTACAGCAGGAGCAGTTATGATGTTGAAAAGAAATAAAGCAAATGTTGTAAATAATACTGAAGTAGCTGAAGTTAAACAAACTCCAACACCTTCGCCAAAACCAACGCCTTCACAAGCAAAACCTTCAATGACTCCTGAACCTATGGAAGTACAAACTCCTGTTCAAAAGTCAACTCCTAAACCGACTCCAACATTTAAACCAGAACCTACTCCTCAAATAAATCGTAAAACTCCTGCGTTTCCTTACTGAAAAAATAACGTTATTTTTATTTAATATTAAAAATTTTATTTGATTGAAATGACAAATAAAGTCACTGAAGCAATGAAACAAAAGTTTTTGGTAGAATACATTAAATCAGGAACTATTCCAGAAGGTTTTTACATTCATACTATGAAGGATGGTAGAGTTCAGTTTAGAAAGATAAAGCAACCATTAGATAGAGAAGGTATATTAAGGAAGATTAAACTTCATGAGGACAACATTGCTGAACTTAAGAAGAAGTTAGAAGAGTTGGAGAAAGGAAGAGAGTTATAAAGCAATGAATTCAACGGGGTAGAAATGAGGTTAGAAATCGGGTTAGATCTCACCACTTCACCTAAATTTATTTTTGTGCTATGTTTTCATACGTGTGAGGGTGGTGATATCATTAATTTTTAAGTTTATTTTTTATTTTATTTTTTATTTTATTTTTTATTTTATTTTTTATTTTATTTTTTATTTTATTTTTATATAAATGACGAAAACTATTGAGATAACAAACTACAACGGTCATGAGTTCAAGAATTTGTTCTTCGTTCCTCGTGAAAATACATTCTATCAGATACGAGGGAGAAAGGGTAAAGTTAGTTTGAGCGTTTACGACAACAAACATAATGGGAGATATATAAAAGCAATAGATACAAACGGTAAACGTGTTTCATTAGCTTTGTCAAAACTTACTAACATTTATTTTGACAGTGACTTTGACCTATATGAAGAAGAAAGTGAGTCAGAAGATTATGAGCTGTTATGTGAAGCACAGCAATGGGAGGAGTTGCAATACTTTTGTAAGTGAGAACGTTTATTTTTACATTAGTGAGGTGAAGTGGTTGGCGGCTTTGTAAATATTTAAGGTTAAGTTGGTGTTGTCATTTGTGTTGTAAAATATACGTTAACGGTTTTGTAAAGTATCAAACCGTTATCTTGGGTAAGGTGGAACGCAGTGCCGCCGTACCCAAGATAGGGATACTAACTATCTCTCAGATAATCCGTGAATTTGGACTTTAATCTTTTGGCAATGCCAACATCAAATACTTGTAAAATGTGTGTTGTATGTGCGGGAAGAACAATTAATTTGATGTTGGCACTTGCCAAAAGGAACAATGCCAGAGGATTCTCGCGGCTGGAGTGTCCATCACACACAATGAGAGCAGGCTTGTCACGTATATCTTCTGGCATTCTCTGGCGTTCAAAGTTAAGCCACTCGATGAAGAAAATGCAATACAATAAGAATACACTTCTGTTCACCCAGCCTTTTGGCGTAGAAGTAAACCAACAATGTCTTTCGCGCTGGAATACTTTCAGTTCTCTAGGTAGTTCTGCAATACATGGGAGAACAAAGAGAGGTGGGACAGATTTGCCTGTCATTGAGCATCCGCATAAAGCTGTAATGTGCGGAAAGTTTGGAATTCCTTTGGCGATCATATGCTCTATCTCCTCAGGTAATGCAACTTTCTTCTTCTTAAATTTGTTTATGAATGTTTCATCAATACTAAAAATCAACTCCTCTGGAGTACTTTCGATTGTTTCACGATGTTTATCGTAGAATTCTTCGATAATTCTTGGTTCACACGCCATGTATCTTGATTCTTCAATCTCTTGGCATGCCTTAAGCTTGCAATGCAATTGCTGTAAAATATGGTTAACATAAGGTCTCGATACATCATCACCACCAAGAGTATTGATAACTTCTTCTGCAAGAGTAGGACAATTAATCTCAAGAAGGAATCTGTAACCATAATCTCTTCTGAGCTCTTTCAACTTGAACGCCTCGTCAATAATGTCAGCTGCTTCTAGAGCTTCACCTTTGTAAGCAGAATCTTCGATAATTTCTTTTAAAGTGAGCTGATC